AGTTTTATCACAAGGCATTAAATCAAAAAAGGCAAACAAGTGAAGCTTTCTAACTGAAAGCAGATACTTCCATCCTTAGTGAAATTTTTCATTGCTCTAATGTAAGGCACAGTTTGATAAAGTAAAACATTCACAAATGAGTATACACAAATATTAAGGGGAAAGTGATGATATGTATAGTAGATTAAAAAAATAGGACAACTGTGACTTTTCACATAAAATATGCCTTTTGCATTATTTAGATATTGCACTATCCTGTTCACAGGAAATGAGGGGCTCTGAGGCAGCAAGGAAACACATAATAAATTTTTCAATGATACGCGTAAGTTCTTTGCAGTCAAATAAATCCATTGGCCTCTACTGAATAAACACAACTCTGGTTTTCTCAGGTTATCTACAGAAGTGGCAACACTTTAAATTTAAGATTAAGTTGTCACTTGTCAGTTCTTCATTTTTCCTTTTGTAAGGAATGTATATTAATAGTCAAAGGGGTTTCATTGTGATATTTCCATACATACATATAATGGACTTTAATCAAATTTATCTCCATCCATTACTCTTTCACTTTAAAGCAATTTTAACAGGTTTCAATACTCTATTTTTATACATGTGAATGAAGTACTTTGATCATGTTTACCCCTTTCCCCTTCTGCTTTCATCCTCCCCTGTCTGCTTGTTCCCAACTCCAAAAATTCCTTCCTTTTACACACTTGTCATGTTTAAAAATTTTTTTCTTTAGGTCTAGATTACACATATAAAAGACAAATATGAAATATGTATCTTTTGCAGCCTGACATATTTCACTTAACATGATGATTGTCAGTGTACATATTTTCCTGCATATGACATAATTTCATTCCTCTTTATGGTTGAATAATAATCCCTTATAGATAGGTAAATAGGTAGGTAGATAGATAGATAGACATAGATAGATAGATATCACTTTTCTTTATCCATTAACTAGTTAACAGACCTGACAGCTGCCTCAATATTTGGGCTATTGTGAACAGTCCTACTACTATATGGATGTGCGAGTATCTCTATTTTATGCTGATTTACATCCTTCAGATGTAAGCCCAACAGTGGTATAGCAGGATTATATAATAGTTCATTCTTTAGATTTTTTTTTTTTTGGTGATACTGGGGTTTGAACTTAGGGACTCATGCTTGATAGGCAGGCACTCTAGTGCTTGTGTTGGATATTTTCAAGATAGGACCTCCTGAACTATTTTCCCAGGCTGGCCTCAAAACTCGGTCCTTCTGATCTCTGACTCCCAAGTAACTAGGCTTACAGTCATGAGCCACTGATGCCTGGCCATCTTTTAGATTTCGGAGGAACTCTATTCTGATTTCCATAGTGGCTGAACTAATTTACATGCCCACCAGCAGCATAGAAGTGCTCATTTGTCCTCACACATTCACCAACATTTCTTGTTTGCTTCCTTAATGATTGGCATTCTGACTGGGGTAATATGAAATCTCAGTGTTGTTTTCATTTGCATTCCCTTGATGGCTAAGGATGTTGAATATTTGTTCATGTATTTATTGGCTATTTGTTCTTCCTTTGAGAAGTATTTCTTCAATTGATTTGCCCATTTACTAACTGCATTGGTTATTTTTTTAGTGTTCAATTGTTGGAGCTCCTTATATATTCCAGATATTAATTCCTTATCTGATGAAAAGCTAAGAAAGATTTTCTCCCATTCTGTGGGTTGCCTCTTAATTCTGATCACTGTTTCCTTTATTGTGCAGAAATTTCTTATTTGGATATAATTCCATTTGTCAATTCTTGACCTTATCTCCTGAGCCATTGGTGTCCTATTCAAGACGAGTTACCTATGCCTGTAACTTCAAGAGTCTTCCCTATGTTTTTCTATAATACTTTCAAAGTTTCAGGCCTTAAACTTAGATAGTTTGGATTGATTTTATACAAGGTTAAAGAAGAGAGCTCTATGTTCAGTCTTCTACATGTGGATTTCCAATTTTCCCAGCACTGTGTGTTGAAGTGGCAGTCTTTTCTCCAACTATGTTTTTTGACACTTATGCCAACAATCAGATTGCTGGAGCTGTGCAGGCTTATTTCTGGATATTTTATTCTATTCCATTGGTCTGCATGTCTGTTTCTGTGACAGTATCATGCTGTTTTTGTTACTATGGTTCTATAGTATAATTTAAGTCAGCATTGCTTAGGATTGCATTGGCTATTTGGGGTCTTTTGAAATTCTATATGAATTTTAGAATTGTTTTTTCTATTTCTAAAAAAATGACCTTGGAATTTTTCTAAGAATTGCATTGAGATTGAGCTTGGTTCTGGTAGAACAGCCATTTTCAAAATATTAATTCTACTTATCCATGAGCATAGGATCTCTTTCTGTCTTCTAGGGTCTTCTTAAATTTTCTTCAAGGTTTTATAGTTTTAATTATAGAGGTCTTTCACATATTCATTAGGTTTATTCTTAGATATTATTTTTTGAACCTTTTGTGAATGGTATTATTTTCCTGATTTCTTTCTCAGTCTGTTCATCATTTATGTAGGGGTCTAATAAAATATAAGAAATTATGTGAATTTTCATGTATTGGCTAAGACTTGATTTATGTCCTAACATATGATATATTTCAAGAAAGTTCCATGGGCTGCTGAGAAAAATGTGTTTCCTAGCCTGTGTCTTTCAGAGAACTGAGACTACTAACATCCAGAATTATTGTTGAAAAGTACAATTCTTTTAAGTATCTTTTGCAGTCAGGTGTAGTGATCATGAATTGCTTTAGTTTCTGTTTATTATGGAAGGTTCTTATTTCTCCTTTGATTATGAAGGATATTTTTTCTAGGTACAGTAACCTAGGTTGGCAGTTACCCTCTTTGAGGGCTTGAAATATATTATTCCATGTCCTCTTTGCCTTTAAAGTTCCGTTGAGAAATCTGCTGTGCCTCTGATAGGTTTTCCTTTCAAGGTTATTTCGTACTTCTGTCTTGCACCCTTCAATATACTTTCCACATTCTGGATGTCTAATGACCTAACTATAATATGAAGTAAGGATGTTTTCTGGTAAATGGTGTCTGAAAAGCTTATGCTCCACCTAGCAACCAACACAGATTGCCAGAAGACAGGCCCTGGAGGCTGAATATCATGCTGGTCATTTGTTTTCATGTGACCCTGAGGTGACTGGACTTGGACTTTATAAGGGAGCATGTGGCCCGCAACCAGCATATCCTTCACTGCAGTGGATCCCACTTGCTTCTCTGCAGGACCAGGTAAGACTCTCTCCCTCTCCTTGACCATCTTTCATGGCCTTTGCTCACCAACCTTCTTTGATAGGGTGTCCCTCTACTCTCTGAGCCATGAATTTTTCTTGTTTCCAAGCCTCTAGAGTGTTTTGGTCCCAACCAATAGTCTAAATGAACCCTTTCTCAAGAAGTCATCTTACTATGGCAGACTGAGATGAGGGGAGTGACAAACTGTCTCCTTGACAAGGTCTAACCTTCTACACCAGAACAGTCATTGTCTTCCAAATCCCTTCACTGGATTTAAGGAGGTGTGAACTTATCTTGCAGCAAGAATTTCCAGTTTGTTGTCAGGTCCCTCTGACTTACCTTGTGATTGGGTCTTCAGCTTGCCCTTTGACTCCCAGGGAGCCAAGGATGGGCTTGAAACTGTTTGCTGCTTTTCTCTGGAGAAAAATCTATGGAAATTTCTAAGTCTCCATATCAGCAATTAGATAATTGTTAAAGCACATGTTGGCACTAACAGTTACAGAAAAAGCAAATGCCATTGGAAGAGATTACATTTAAATTTCCTCCTATGTCAGTCTTCTGCCAAAGACAGTAAAATTTAAAGTAAAGTTCTTATCTGATGTAGATACATGGACTTAAAAATTAGAGAAAGTCATCAATGACTCATTCTTATTCATCATAATCATTTCATTTAAAAATTCTATAAGAGGTAATGGAAATTCTGAGCCAATGGATAATGATTGCTTTTGTCATCTTGCCCCAGAGTGAGCTAAGGTCAAGGAAAGTATGTGGGTCAAATTTTGTAAGTAACAGTCTATCTACCAATAGGAAAGAATAGAAATAATTGACTAGAATTAGAGTTTATTAAATCTTGTATTAGGATCTTTGTAAATATATGTGTGTATAATATCTGTATTTGCCCTGAAAAACTACTATTGTTTCTTCAAAATAAATTCTCCAGGGTCAGGGATGATAACTTGTTCATCATAGATGTGAATAAACATCAATAAGTATAAATGTTTCATTTCCTAGCCTTCCTCACGTCCATCCAAATTCCTGTCGAAACAATGTCTTTCCAGCATCTAACTTGACTATAGAAGAATTACTTCTTCCATACATTTTATATTTAGTGTCTCTGAACCTCTGTTTCTTAAACTCTGAACTTAGATAATGATACAACTACATATATATAAAATAGATAAACTTAAAACTTTATGTATATATATACACTACACATATATGTTGAAAACAAAGGAAATAATGGAGATAAACAAAGAAGAGAATACATTTTATAAAACAAAGAATGATACAGATATGTCATTGTAAAATGGACTAAGTAGAATTTGTAAATGCAAGAAAAAACAAGGAGATTCAATCAGAGCATAATAGGAACTTATTCTATATCTTCTGGTACATGGTACATAAATTTTAAAACTCAACTCGCTTAACATGAGACCATTTTGTATGAAATATAATGCTATATGTTCAAGAAAATGCAGAGAACTAGAGGTAAATTTTAAAGTAATTGGCTTCTATAGTTTTATATTTCTTCTATCCAAAATTAGTCTAAGGATCTCACGTTCATCAGTTTTCTCATTTCCTTTTGTTCTAATTAATCAAAATCCTTCATTTCTGGCTACTATGACATCCCAAATATGAATAAGAAATAAAATAGCATTTGGTGTTTGAAATTATGGGGGAAATTTTATTGATGGAAATGGGTTAATGGCAAGGGGAGGAGAATGTCTGATTAAATATATTCATGAACATGTCAGAGGTTTATAAGCCAACATCTCACAGGAGAACGTTTTACAACTCCCATGTCTTCTCAGGTGAAGTGTGTTCCCGAATGACCACCACTGTGGACAGCAAGCAGTCATCATGGAAAGGTATGTGCAACTGCTCAATGGCTTTGTGAACAATCTGGTGTTTGAGGTAAAATAATGTGAAATTTTAGGTAATAACAAAAAGTTTAAGGCACACAGGGTTATAAGAACCTTCTAATCATTATTCTAGAAAGCAATTGTACAAGAGCACAATGGAATAGATCAGTCATTCTTGAATAGGGGATCCTCCTTCTCCCAGAGACATTTTGCATTGTCTTAATTGAGGTAAGGCAGGAAAAGGGAAGAAACCAGGGAAGCTGATAAACATCCTCTAATGCATTCTTCAAGGACAACTCCCAGAACAAGGAGTAACCCAACTCAAAAGACCAATGATTCTGAGATCAAGAACTATACTAGAATAAGACCTCAAGAGTTTCTACGTCCAATTTGTCGTACATCAGAAGGAAACAGTTAACACTTTCTGGCTCCCAGATCTCTTATGTGAATTACACAATTTGAATCAACCTGATGAAAAAATTCTGAGTTATGATGCAGACAATGATAGCACATACGTATCTCATACTGCTTTATCAACTTGGTTCAAGCCAAATGACATTTCACAAGGAAAAACAAGCAAGGGGTAACTAATAGCCTGTACTTTCTTGGTGATATTTTCTTCTTCTTTTCTTTTTTTTTTTTTCTTTTTATTGGAAATACTGGGATTTGAATTCAGGGCCTCATACTTGCATGGCAGGTGCTCTACCACTTGGACCACTGCACCAGCCCTTGGTGATATTTTCAAGAAAAAAAAATTACTACTAACCACAAAATTTGTTTTATGAAATGAAAAATAAAAATATTTATCTATTTTTTCTCATCTTAGACTATGAAAATCCCACAGATAATAAGCACACAAATAAATGTTCTCAACATTAAAGAATATTCAGTTAGGAATTCCCTAGAGTACTAGTCTGCATTCTCTGTTTTTTAAAGCACATTTCTTTTATAAATGTAGACAAAACATCCATGCAGCTGCATTATATTACTTTAACATACATTATACAAATTTTAGAAGCATTGTGTTTTTGAAAACTGAAAGATCTCTAATGTGAGTTATCTCACAAGATTATTTTAATTTTTACATACAATTCGTTTAGCTACACTATAAACCAAACAACTTTTAAGTATATTTATATTTTAAAAACATTTATAGTGATATTAATTTGGCACCTATGTGCTGTTTCTTTCCTTCGAGAGTGTAAATTATTGATATGTTAATGATAGGTATCTGTCCATCTGCTGAGATAGCAATGTGATGATAAAACCAACACTGATCCTTGTCAAGATTTTTAAAGTGGGTGTTTGATAGAGAGGAAAATGAGATAAAATCAAGTTACCTAGGGCCTCTGTTACCATATAATCAAGGCAGAGTGTTGTTCTTTAAAAGTAATGGTAACAACCTCTACAAACACTAAGTGTCAGGAATAATGGTGTGGTCCCTGATACACATGCAAAGTGAGGGCCCACAGGTGTGTATGTTGTGACAAGGTGAAGTGCAAAGACCATGGTGTTTGTATTCTACCTTCCCCTACCTGCTAATAAAGGGAGGGAAATCATTTAACCTCTCCAAGCCTTCTGTTAGTTTCATCAATATAATTTAGTGAAAATTATGAAGGCTCAGTCTATTCACGGGATTATTATACAGCCCAAATTTAGAAAGAAAAAAGTGGAAGCTTTTGGAAAAGTGTCAGACAAATGTGTGGGAATATTATTGTGAGTTGCAAACCCAGCTTACAGCATCATTTTTATAATAGGATTATTTTCCTAATCCGTATTAGAGATCATTCAATCATGAGTTTATTCTTATCAAGCATGAATATAAAACAAACCAATGAACTGCACTTTCTTTGTCATATAAGTGACTGAAATGCAAATATCAGACATTGGCTTAAAAATTATACATTCTGACCACCAAAAATCTGCAGACACCCAAGACATTAAATTATCTTCAGAGAATGATTTAAACACCCTGCTTCAGAATTAATTTAAGTTCCAAATGTTTGCAAAGTATAGAACCCCTTCTGAAAGCAATACAGAAATGCAGGAAGTCACCCACTTCTCAAACTACATATCTGTACAAATACAATTATATATCTAAATTGACACAGTGGAAGGTGTTGCTTCTTCTCCCACCCCAGCTGTACTAGCAATTCCTGTAGAAAAGGACAGTGCTGAGGGAGAAAGTTTCCCACAGCAGAATTACATCTGATAACCTCGGCAGAATAGATCATCTCAAAGTGGGTTGTGTTTTTGTTTACACAGGATCACTCCTGCTGCTGCTGGTGTTAAACCTCCTTCTCTGCAAGAATGTGGCTGCCAGCCCTGCCTGTGCAGGTGGGGCTGCGAACTGCCGCTTGAGCCTCCAAGACCTGTTCACCCGTGCAGTCGCCCTGTCTGACAACATCTATAAAGTTGCTGAAGACACATTCAGGGACTTTGTAAGTATCCCACTCATTGCTTCTTCCCAAAAGAAGCCTTCATGCCAAGGATAGGACTGTATGCAATTTAATAAAGAAAGCCTCATGAACCAAATTGCAAATAATATGCCTTAATAAGTAAAAGAAGGCATCAGATAATAAAGGGTGGGAACAAGAGAAAGCTCCAAGTTTCATGAAAGGTCAAAGATTCTCAAAGAATGCAATGATATTTATAATTTTTCTTTAATTTATCTTATTTCTATTTTTATTAAAAATTTAAACACCATGTGTAAAGCCTTTATTAAGCAAAAAGAATAGCATTGATTTTTTTGTTCTTAAGCCAGTAGCCTGGGCAAACTGTATTAGGCATACTGTAGATGTTCAATAAAGGAGAATTGCATTGCAGTGTATGGGGTAGATGAATAGAATTAGGCTGAAATGAAACCTTGTCAGGAGGGGGAGAAACCAAACCAAAAAAATGGCTTTTCAGGAACCCCAAAATGCTAGGAATCTTTGTTTTAAATTGCTAGTGCATGAATTGATAATTACAGCACAAAGGCTGGTGTACAATTGGAAACAGGTGTTTTCTTCCTGATGAAGGTATTTTGAAAGTTGTATTTTAGGTCTTCTAGGTCAGGCAAGGAGACCACAAAAGAACAGGGCTTCAGTATATCATTGGGCCTCCAGAGAATGTGATTCAATATTTGCAAAAAATACATATTTATAAAATTCTTTTCAGTCACTAGTTTTTCTTTTATTCCTCATTTTTGACTGACCATCTTTTATCTTCCACATCTTCCTAGTAATCCCTTTAAATCTTCACAACTTTGTCAAATATTAGTTTAAATCATAAAGTTTACTCTTTTTTTCCATTTTTAATCTGTTCACTTAATATTTCCCAAAACATTATGCTCTGTTACTTTCAACTTATTTTGTCACATTAGTAATATTGTATTTTGATTTTTGATAAATTAGTGGGGTACAGCTATGTGTATTTAGAGGTAATTGAAAGAAAAAATTCAATTTTATAATGGCTACTTAAAAGAAGTATATCCTTTGGACACACAAAACATAAGGAATTAAATGGATAAACATAGACATTTATTGATTTGGTAATTTGATATTTAAAAAACTTGATGATTTGTAGTTTGGCAATATTTAGTGTTTGCTTTTCAAATAGCAAGTAGTAGGAAGGATGAAACAAAGGTTGTGACAATACAGGAAGAGTGAAGAAGAGAAGAAGTTCAAAGGTTTGAAAAGTTAGATGAAAACAATGAGATTACAAACTAATTGCAAAAAATGTAGGCAAAAGGGCTAGTTTGTTAATTCCTTATGTTCAATTTTATGCGGTGCTCTTTTTGAGAAAATTACACATCTACCAACTATATGAATATTCTGCTAATGGATTAACTTATTCTATTCCGAAGCTATAACTAACTGAATTTTCTCTATCACTTATAGCAACAAACTTATGCCACTGGCAGGGAGTTCATTTCCAGGGCCATCAACAGCTGCCACACTTCTTCCATTCCTACTCCAGCAGACAAAGACCAAGCCCTAAATACCGAGGTAAGTCTTAAGCCCAGGCTTTTCACAAAAATAGTTGAGGCAGTATTCTGGGGTTGCTGTATTATAAGTTATTAGTCACTAAATAAGTATAGTAATCACATGTGCAGAGAAAAATGGAGGAAAAGAATGTAATCTAAGAAACTTTACATTATGTAGCTGATAACTTATAAGTAAAAACAAATACTAAGTAAGCCTGCAGTAGATCTATAAATTGTGCATGCAGAGGACAACATTTCACCCAATGCCTTATACCTAGGATTGCATATATTGTTCTGTAGGAATGTGTCAGGTGAGTTGGACATGCATGAGTAAATATACATATATGATAGATGTAAGAAATGCAAATACAGTTATGTAATGCTCTTCTATTGACAGCATATTACATCCCTGATCACTGAATGATTTGAGCCCTCTTGTCTAGATTTTCAAGACTCTTCTGGTTCTACTTCTATTCCTCTAACACTTACTTCCTCATTCATCCCTTACTCTTCACCTCATGCTGCATCTTAACCCACCAAGCAGGTCCTAGAAAATATTATGTTTCTTGCAACAGCAACTCTAGTCTCTGTTCTAATAACAACAAAATAAACATATCAAACCAGCTCGTGTTTTTATTGTTCTATTCTCACCCTTCTGAATTCCTGCTATAACCAGTCTAAACATATTTTAAAGTAAACATCATACACATGATATTTATATATGTGTTTTTGTATATATGTGTATATATATATATATATACAAATATAATCAGTTCTTTAAATAAACCAGCTTTGTAACTTTACATTTCTAAAAATTGTATTATCTAGAGAAAATTTTTACATACACTTTGGAATAACAAAGATATTTTAGTTCAACTTCTGCACAAAAATTACATGTTATCAACCCCGCTGTTTTTCAGTTCCTTTAATGTGATGTTCAATGTGGTTGATCAGTCTGGAACACTTCTGAATACGGTCCAAGGCTTATTGCGCTACTGGGAAGACCCTCTGCAGCACCTGACCACCACGGTGAGGGATATGAAAGAATTCCCAGTGGATATGATTAGAAGAGTCCAAGAGATTGAGTATAAAACCCATCAACTTCGAGAGGGCGTGGAGAAGATAATCAAACAGGTGAGCAATCTTTGATACTTCTTTGATTTTCTCATCAATGAAAGAGGCAACCTCTGTGATGGGAAATGGCATTTAAAATCCTCACTTTGCTAGAACAAATTTAGGAATGCCATGGTGTAGATGACTAGGCCAGGCCTTAGTCATCCATAGTGTGAGATCCTGATGAACAGCAACCTTACTAATAGCTTTCCATATTTGACAGGTGTAGCCTTTCCTACACTATCCACAAATCCACTAAGGCTTCCCTTTCTCTGGGAATGGGGTAAAATATTTTCCAGAGAAAGAAAATTAGAGAATAGAATCTGCAAGATAAATGCTCTCTTCAAAGTATATCAGGACACATGTATTGAAATGCTGGTCAGAGTCTTTCTTCGTTCTACTCATGCCAGAGATTAGAGTGGGAAGGGAGAAAGGAGAAAATCAAAATCACACTGGACTATAGCTCCCTCCCTGCCCCATCACCAAAGAAAGAATGAAAAGAAGAGGCCATAGCTTCAATGTTGTCTCACAATACTAGATGTAACAAAAGGAAGAGTGTGTCTTTTCTGGAATGTTCCTTATTTCATAATATCTAGAAAAATATTTCATCCTAAACTTCGTTTTGCTTGGGGATCCATATCTAAACTCATATCCTCATAAATAATCATTCCAAATAATTCATCATACTTAGATTAAATTAGTATTTTCAGTATTATCTACATTCAGATAGGATAATTTCAACTTTAGCGAGATTCCTGCTTTCTGAAATTTTCAGAAATAATGTGCCATCTAAAGAAAAACATATGACTATAGAAATAATAGCAGAAGCAATTTTATACTTCTTTTTGTATACTAATTACATGGTATCATGTGTCATTTTTGTCATTTTCATGGGAAAAGATTACAAATCTGAGCAAAAATTTAGTGAATACAAAGAGCATATTAACCCAGAAATCTATGAAATAAACACCTTGATTTTCAGTTTATTTTTTTTACTAGTGTAAGCCTATTTCCTGATGTAGCTAATGGATTCCAAAATGCTTTTTTTTCTGTTCCTTTTTTTCATCCCACTTCTTTATTTAATTATGTTAATGTCCTTATACCTTGAACAGTAAATACTCTCAATAATTTTCTCAAGAAAATTTTGTCAAATGTAAAGAGCTTAAAGCCAGACAACACACATATATACACTTTAAATTCTAATAGGTTATGCAATATATAAAGAATAAGCTTATTCTGTAAGAGAAAGTTCTACAAATCAAGGTCTACAATTATCTCAGACTTGTACCTAGTAGACTTTCTAACACAAACATGCTTAAAGGGACCAAGATAGTTCCTTTTCTCTAAGATTCTAAAGATTCCCAGTTTTCTAAGGCCGATAGAGTCCAGAGTCATGCACTGTCCCTCTCTCAAGCTGTTTGACAGCTTCTTTTTGTTATCCTAGTCATGCCCTAGCACACAGTCCTCACCACTGAGGGGTTTCTGGAAGTACCATCTCTTGCCCACTACCTCCCACCCTAGAGAACAACAAAAAAAACAAACAAACAAACAAAAATCAGCTATGCTTCATAGAAATTTGGAAGGAACCTTTCCTGATTTAAATGAAAGACTCCCCAAATTCATCAGCAGATCTTCACCAAACTCATCATCAGAGTACTTGCATCTTAAAGCATTTGATGCATTCCTCATTGTTTCTAAGATTTTGGTACATACAACCTCTGATCAATGGATTCAGGTCAAAGGAAGGAAAAGATAAATGGTGAACTATCAGAAGGACTAAAGTGCAGAGGCCATGCTAGGGACAGGATTTGGGAAATGTAAAAGTCACTTAAGTAAGAGGACAAATAATAGCTCTTTCATTGCCACTTGGTCAAAGCCAAGTCAATTTTCTAACAGCAATTTCCTGCTTTTCCACCTATCTACTCCTATAAGAACATAATTGATCTGTGATCTCTCTTATGACAGAAAAATTATGCATATGGCCTACTTTTAGATTTATGACACCCTGATCCAGAAACACAAAACTCCATGTCTTTGGCTTATGTTTTCCATTCCTATATCATGCCCAAATCATAATTCAGAAATTAGAAGAAACAGTGATAAAAAAAATACTAATAGTATGAATAATAAGTGACTTTTTTTGGTGACAAGGTTGAACCTGGAGTTGTAAATGACGACATCTTCTCTGCCTGGTCTGGACGTTCATCACTGCAGGAGGGTGACAAAAACTCTCACCTTGTTGGATTTTATAATCTGTTCCACTGCCTACGCAGGGATACAAATAAGGTTGACAATTTTCTCAAGATCCTGAAGTGCAAAGTTGTCCATGAAGGCAGCTGCTAATCCCACATCCATTTACTCTATAACTAAGATGGTACTCATGGATGTATCTCTTGGCAAACTTCATTTAGTTTTATAACTTTTTAATACATGCTTGGGTGTAATGGGTCTCTTCATAAAAAAAATAAAAACTGACTCTTTACCAGTGTCAAAATCTAAAAAGCCAATTTGTCAAAGAACTTTTTCTTCATTTAATGGAAGATCAAAAGAAAATTGATTACTACCAGTGAGAAGATCCTACCAAAACTTGTGACAAAGAAGATACTAACAATTTTTTTTCCATTTTATTTTTTATTATTATTTTTAAAAGGCTTGTGTTCAATTAGAATATAGAATATCATTTATATTACAATACCTTACATTTTGTCTTTATGTCATCTTTTCAAATAGATGAATTGCTTTTTTTTCCTTTCTGGTATTTTTTTTTCTTTTATTATTCATATGTGCATACAAAAAAAAAGATACTAACAATTTAGAACCACAGTAAGTTAACATGGGATATTATTGGAAACCAAAAGTTTCATTACCATTCATAACAATCCAATCAAGAAGACTGAATCCTCAAGATGCTTTATGAAAGTCACCACGTTCTGTGAGCTAACTTTCACAGTGGTGAGATAGACACTGCTAGTGCTCTGCAATGGCACAGTCTAAAAATTGTTAAGATGCAAACATACAAAATGGCTCTAGGTTTTCCAGTAGCTCTTTTCTCTCATGCTTCACTGAGTTCCCATCACCTTAGCATCATCCTGGACACATTTTAAGCATTGCAGTCACTCTGGGTTTCACAAGACCTCTTCACTCAAGTTTCAGCTCCATCTCAGATTCAAAATATTTAATATTTTTCCTCTCTTCCTTTTGTGGCTAAAAGGACACAACAGCAATGCTGATGTGGTCAGTTACTGAATTTGTTTTGTTCACTTCTTTCTACTGGATTTCTATTCCTTTCTCTGTCAGAATACGATATATGATTAGGAGAAATAAAACTATTTCTGGGAGTCCTATCTTACGATGTACTATGATAGATTTCTCATTACTGACAAGCACTGGACTTGAATTTCTTCTGAGTGACACGTGTGTTTCTCCTATGTGGTACACAGTGTGTTTTTCAGCAGAAATGCCCTGGCTTGATTCTCCCATCTATCCCACAGCTCTGTCCTCTGTAGTATCCTCTATAGCCGCTGCTGCTGGTCACTTACCCTAAATGCACCCTACTAAAAAAATTGTGCCAAAGTCAGATATCTTCCAACTAACTCACAGGAAATTCATGCATCATAACCACTCTAAGCATTTGAGTGGCAATAAACCCAAATCACTGCTGAGCCCTCTCTCGGATCTCCACAAATCTCTTCTCCTGTTCATATTAACATAGAGAGGATCAGAAAGTAGAGTTCATTAGCAGACAGTCACCTAAGGAATAAGACACTATTCTTCCCTTCTTTGGAATCCCATGAGTAATTATCTCTATCAACAATTATCTTAGAGAAGCAGCCTTACAACATTCTCTAATAGGCCACTAAATGATAACTCTCATACCCAATCACTAAAAAATCTAATGTTCTGTTGATTCAGCCTGGATAGAATTGATTGAATGAGAGTAGCTCAGCTTGTTCACCACCCTTTAAGCAAGCTAGAATGAAGACTGATCTAAAGGCCAAGTCTCCTTAGAAGGTTATGGGATTGCCAGGGGGTTTTCGAAGGAGAGTCATGGTTTCTGCAGGGATTTCTAGACAGTACACAATGGGAGACATCCCATTCTAAATCCTGATAGATATTACATCAAAACATGAAGTTGTGCAATGAAGGAGAAGCTAGAGAGAGGCAGGAGAAGATGAGGGATAGATAAGAAGAAAGAAAATGAATAAAAGATAGAATGTGTATAATAAGATGCAGCTAGCATACGGAACTTGGTGAAAACCTATATTTACATTAATTATTAGATCTGAAAGCAAATATCTTGCCCTATTTTAATTTCACCTCCCTTTTCTCTCTTGCTTTCCTGAAACTTTTGTTTGTTTTAGAAATATTCTTATCCTTTATCAATTGAGGTGCTGTAGTTCTCAGCACAAGCAGAACTTGGCACTACTGCAGGTCACGATTCAAAGCAATTTTCCACGTCTTTTTCAAGAAATAATGAAGCTAAAACTTTCCCAAAGTGTTAGGAACACTTTCCGTCTCTTTTTTCTGTAGGAGGGATGTTTTGATCTGAATCTTGCTTCTGTCTCTAACTGTGAAGACCCACACTTTCAGAACATATCAGAATACCCTGTACCAAACAAAAGTATCACCCCTCTCTTTCCTCTTGAATGCATACAAAGCATCAATGCCCTCACTCAGATTTCAGTCTTTTTCTTTCAACAGGCAGGAGAGTATGGGAGAAACCTGCATATTCTTTATTTCTAAGTTATTTATGTTGAAAACATCTAATTCGATTAGGTTTCCCACTTAGCTTCTTTCCCATCAATTTCTAGATATTTCCAACAGAGATGATGGCATTTATGAGGAGTGAAATTTTCCAGTGCATGATAGTGTAATTGTATAAAATGTAAGTTTACCATTAGCCTACTTGCACTTCACACACCTTTCTTTTACAAAGTGTTTATTCCAAGCATGAATTTAAGACTTCAAGTAAACTACTGAAGAGGTGATAGAAAAAGGCCTCTCCTTGACTGTGACATGGAAACTGAATGTTGTAGTTTTCAGACAAGATTGAACAAAGCCATAGGTTTGTAATAGTGTTGCAAGAGGTAGTAAGAGAGATAAAGAGAGAATATTTGAGAAGAATACATCAACCACTCCTTTTCCAACCAGAGTGAGTCTTCTTTCTTCTTCTATGGCTTTCTTTCTTCTTCTTCTTTTATTCTTTATTCATTTATTCATATGTGCATACATTGTTTGGGCCATTTCTCACCCCACCTTCCACACTCCTGGACAGAACCTGTTCTGCCCTTATTCCAATTTTGTTGAAGAGAAAACATAAGCAATAATAAGAAAGTCATAGTGTTTTTGCTACTTGAGATAAGGATAACTATAAGATTACACTTGAAGAAATGGTCGTATAAGAAAAATAGCAGTGGTGTCAACTGTGAAACAAACTAACCCTACAAATTCATTGATCTCATAGTTTAGTAACCAATACATATTGGCATTGCAAGAAACTAAAAGAGAGGTAAGAAAAATGTGTCTTCCAGGGGTTTGCTCTGAAGTATGAAAGAGTATTAGATAAATATGCAAATAACTATACTTATGTCAAAGAGAAGCCAGGAAGCATCTGGATGTGAGAAAAGGAAGACTGTCCAAAGTGGTACCATTGTGGGACCTTTGAGATGGAGTTTTGAAGGTTTAGTAGACTACTGATAGACAAAAGCAGGAAGATTGCATATCTTCCATTTCTTCTACAATCATTTTTACAATGTAGACAAAGCCTACATCTTGAACAAAAGAAACTGAGGTGTTAGTTTATGTAGCATTCAAAGGAATCAGTAGATAATCAAGTTTGGCCTAGACATTGTTTAAAAAGGCGCATTTATTATAAAGTTACATGAAATGTTTTTTTTAAAAAAGCATTTGATACTTCATTAATATGCTACAGATGATATTATAGGGTAACAATAGGGAAACCACTGGTTAAGATTGTTTTTGAATTGTGGAGGATAATATATGTGAATTTGGAGAGGTTCTGCTTTACTATGAGACAACAAAAAACACACATTTTATCATAAGAATACAATACAGCAATATTGTAAAAAGTATTAATCTGGTTGTGGAAGTTTGGGGTTGATAGAAAATGAGGGGTGAAAAACAAGTTAAAATACCATTATAACACTAAAGAGCATAATTGAGAGTTTTGTCAAGAGGAAGGAAGCTAAGAAAATGGGGCACATGAGTAAATCAAAGGGTTTTGACTCTTGGAGGGAATGTATGTGATAGAACAGTGAAAGAGATGCAATAACTTGAGACTAGATGAGTAAAAATATGATGGGAAATTCCAAGAGGGGATGAAATAAAGTAACTTTTTGTACAAATGGATATGAACTTTGTTTTCCTCTATTTCATTGGCTTTGTACCAGAATTCATTGAAAATGTCATTACTTAAGCAAAACTGAAATGAGTACATTCAAAAGTCTCTATGAGAACATGCAATATACCAGAAAAATAGAATTTATACTGCTCTATAACAAGTGGTAAGTCACTTGTCTCTTTCAATTCTTTAATTAGACATACAGTGTAAGGCCATTTCTTTAGAGAGATAGTCCTAATTTTAAAAAAAGAAACTATAAACAGTGTCCACTTTCAACTTTTGTCTACTTTCTGTGAGAGATTCTTCTTTTAATTACTTTTGCTATAATTTGGCCCATTTTTGAAGCTTGGTCCCCAGCTTGTGGCACCATTAGGAGATGGTAGAAACTTTAGGAGGTGAGGCCTAGTGGAAGGAAGTTAGGGAACCGAATGTGTGGTGCTGGTCATTTGAGGGGATATTAGGACCTGGTTCCCCCACACTCTCTCTGCCATGAGGTGAATAGTTGTCCTCTACAAAGTGCTGCTACATGAAATGCTACATGAAATGGCCCAAAGCAATAGGGCCATGTGACCAATGACTGAAAGCATGAGCCAAAATACACCTTCCTCCTTTAACCTGATTATCTCAGGTATTTTGTCACTATCAATGCACCTTCTTCCAAATATACTCCTGAGTATTTCTTCACATCTTACTCTCTGCAAATGATCAGATAATCAAAATAGAAATAAAAAATTCTTAGAAACTTATGCTACAATAATATTCCTATTTAATGACTCCTGAGACAGAAAAGCTTTTTAGAAGAAATAGGAAGCAGTAATGGAGATTGAACTCAGAGCCTCTTGCTTGCTAGGAAAATCGTCTACCACTTGAGTCTTTTTGGTTTTTTTTCAGTTTGTTTTTCAGATAGGATCTCCTGCTTTTGCCCAGGCAAGTTTCAGATCGTGATCCTCCAACCTCTATCTCCTGGGTACCTGAACTTACA